ACCACCATTGTGGGGGGGAGGGGTGTCAGGGATGGGTGACTGGGGGACTCACCGGGACGTTTCCGCCGGCTGCAGGACCTACACAGGCTTCTGTATCGAGCCCAGAAGAACTGATGGCGAAGCAGATATGCTTCTCCTCCAACGTGCTTTAAAATAACTAAAGTATTAAATACATTAAATTGGGTGGTTGATTGGATGTTAATAGAAATTACTCTGTGAAATTCAGCTTCTCCTGTTTATTATTTAAAACGATATTTCACTGGGACTGTAAGCTACAGGACAGAGAGCTGCGCAGTGTCTTGGTGTAACAAATCCGGGGGCGGCTTTGCCAGCTTCCTGTATCTACTGTATCAAGGTCATAGGACAGAGCTTGTAGAATTAAATTAAGGAGGGATAGTATTTTGTTTCTCTACGCCTCTGCCCCCAGCTGCAGTGCCTGGGTAGGGCTTCGCTCGAAGGAGGCTGAGATACAAACACAAACACATTCCTCACTCGGCTCCGTCCGGTCTGTGATCGGTCCACTCTGTCCGCTGCTTCTGCGTGTCACACTTTCCAAATCCACACCCCAGCTTCTGAGCTCCTCCTAATGAGCTCTGCCTGTTACGCAGGTGCCGGTTACCCGCTCCGGGGTTAAAGGTCATTTCAGCCCCCACCATGTACCAGAGCCTCATTACCCATGCTGTGAGGGAGGGATGGAGGGAAGGGGCACATGAATACGTTTCTGAGTATTTCCTGTTTGGACTTGTGTTTGTGTTTGATGGTTAAATAAAACCGGTTTTCCCCGCTCTCCTCGGGGGCCGGTCCTGGGGTCGGTTCAGTCCTCTCATTCATCCTCCTCAGGCATACGCTCCCTTTGTATGTCTTCTGGGAAGTCAGTGACCAGGCAGACCTTGGGAGGTGTCTGCACAAGTGTGGCTCAGTGGGGGAGGGGTGGTGCGACTTTGGGATCGCGTGCTTGACATGACTAATGTGTGAAGCTGTCTTTTTTTGGGGGGGGGGGGGCAGCAGGGTTCAGATTCGAAAGCTCTGGGTCCGCTCCCTCGTCTCTCTGCCTGTGGTGTTTGCCTCAGCAGTCGGACTCCGCTCGCACTCCTCCGATTGCCAGCATGCCTTCCAGTCTCTGGTCTCATTCCGCGGAAGCATGGTGAAGGATCTGGGGCCAGCAGCACCCTGAATCTCCTCCACAACCTGTGTGGGTCTATAGGCTTCCTGTGGCATTTATAATCCATAGTTTAATGCAGAGTTAATAAGACTTTATTTAGATTTCAGGGGTGTTTATTGAAATACAACATTCCAGAAACATAAAAAGATGAATCCCAATTAAGAGCAAACACCATTGCACTTCTTTCTTTATTTTTCTTTCTTTCTTTCTTTCTTCATCCCTTTCATCAGAAATGAAGAGGTGTCTTATTCTGTGTTTATTATTTTGCTGGGGGGGGGGGGGGGCTTTCCAGCCCTTAGAACGACCCCTGCTTGTTCACCCATCCATCTCCTAACCATTTCTTTGGTCTGACTTGCACACAGCTGGCATGGATTCTGGGTCAGATGCCATCTGTTGCATGGTACCTATATGCTCACACTCATGCTCTGTGAACAACGTAGGATCCCCAGCTATCACAGCACAGGCGGTCATGTGCAAACTCCACATATGCACACACTGGAGGTGGGTTTCGGACCCCCAACCGGGGAGATGTGAGCTAATCATGCTACTCACTCACTATGCCATTATATCCATCAACCTGCTTTCATTTATGAGCCTTTCTCTGTAGGCTGGTGAGAAACACCTCATGTGGAAAAAGTCATAAAATTATATCCTGTGTTTTTGTAAAAATTACTTGGCTTCCTCTCAGGGGCGCCATAAACTGAGGGAAAGTTAGAACGATTCCAGGGGCCCCTGAGTTTCTGGGGCCCTAAAAAATTTGGAACATAATCTGATTGATCTGGGTTGGGTGCCCAATGAAATACGCTTTCATGGGGCCCAGAATCCTTAGCGGCACACTTGCTTCTTTGCACCCTGGGGAAATCCTGGATGTCATCATCGCTTCTATACTCATTTACTTCTTCTTTAGTGTCTCTTGTTCTCTCTGGTACCAAAGAATGTGGCTAGCATACTGGCCCTCAGAAAAATAAGAAAACCCTCTCGTAAGCATGGGACAAACGGACGTCAGATGTCATTAAAATTACCAGCAAGCCACTTTCGGGGGGTGGGGGATGGAAATTCCCTCTGGCAGCGATTCTGGACCCAGACCTAGCACCTGCATCCCTTAAACACAAACTGGGGGGTGGGCTGTGGAACAAAGTATTTTGAAGGGGGGTTTGTTTAGTTTCACAATTTAGTTCCTGTATGTATGGAATTAGTGGTAATTCTCAGTGTAATGAGCCAGGGATGATTAAATGCAGTTGTGCTTGCAAAAGCATGCAAAGCATTCTTATCTAGGAAACGGGGCTGCATGTGCTGCATCTGCTCGCTATCTGGGGTGTCGGGGGTAATTAATGACATGCTTACTTATAGCTAAAACGCCATGGTGAAGAGGGGCATCACATGCACGCGTTTACTGGTCAGCGAGAGCATGCATGCATGCATGCATGCGTCTGCATGCCCCCGCAGCTGTCCTCACGCAGCAGGTGCCACACTGGTGGTGAAGGAGCTGGCTTCCAAAGTGGATCCAACTGGTATCATTTCTCACCCCCATGCCCCACGTGGCCCAGAATTCTGCAGTGGTTCTGAGCATGTGTGTTGGTGTACCGTCAAACCTCACCCTCCTCCGTACACCCATGCACACACCCACACCCTAACCCCCACAGGGCTGCAGAATGTGTGGAATGCATCAGAACGCCAGACCCATGCTGGAGTTCAGCTCTCATTAATAACAGGTGAGTTCCTATAATGCACAGCGCAACAGGCACGCGCGTACACACACGCGAACAACCGCACGTTTCATTACACGCGCTGAAAACTTCACGGACACCTCGTACGCGCGTTAACACGCTGCCAAAAAAGGGGGGAGAGAAAGAGAGAGCGGTCGATTCCATTCTTGTTACTTTACTGCTGCTTGCCAAAATTATTTGTCTGGCAGTAAAGCGAGACGAGAAGAGAGGGGTGAGTGGGTGAGTGAGGGTGGACGGAAGCCATGGCGCACACCTGCAGAGCAGGGAGGACAACGAGATTACCTACCTACGCCTGTCGGAAGGCCAGCCCGGCACGCAATCGATCTCAATCCTTATAATGGCCGACGATATGCATGATAACTGTGATCGATCACAAATACAATGCAGTGATTTATATTCCTTAAAAGGTGACTAACTCAATCGTTTTTTCCTCGTCCTTCATTATTCTCTTCCCCAGAATTCATAAGTCTGGGTACTTTAAACGAGGGTCACGCCACTGACATGAGAGGAGACATAACGTCCTTATTACATTACATTGCCCTCCTAAATTTAATGATGACGTCTGGTTCCTGTATGCCGAAGAGACAAGCGATTCGGGTCGAGGGACCCGAAACACATGGCGAACACATGTGAAAATGCACAGCTGGAGGAGCTGAAGGAGCACAGACACAATCAAGGCCCTCGGCGTCTGACATGGGAACCGTTAAAGAGGGGAGTGTGTGAACACACACGGGTCAGAATCAACTCACACGGAACACACATCTCCACCCCAAAACGATACCTGCGTTATTACCTGATTGTTATCTGATCTCATAATTACTGGATGGTTATTCCTAACATAATGCAGATATTAATTTGGAAACTCAATTTTGATTCTGCATTTTATTGGGCTTGATTCCATTAACACTATGGACTTGGTTTTTGTGGAATGGGTAGGAAGAGATCGTAGACGAAGAAAATTAAACTAGTCGCGCTTTAATGTAAGCAGATGCCTGGCAAAAAAAAAATCATCTTACGTTTTGTGGTACAGCTAGGTCTAAGAAAAAGGAGAAAGAGCCCATATGCTCTCTGCGAGAAGTAAGATTCAGACCTGCCAGAATCAACTCTTTTCTTTTTTTTCGTTTTTTTTTTTTGTTAACAAAAAAAAACGTCCTGAAACTCTGCGGGTCCCCAGTCTAGCGTCGTAGCGCCCACAGAGACAACGAGGAGTAGCAGAGAAAGGGTGAGAATGGAGATAGGGAGAGAGTGAGACAGTTTAACACGACAAAATTGTCCAAAATAGGGAAGGGGGCACAGCACACATTTTTAAGGAGCCTCACTTTTGATTTCGTTTTTTTTTTTTTTTTTATCGAAGAAGCGGAATACAGAGCCCAGCACAGAAAAGAGAGAGATAAAGAAAGCGAGGGGAGGGACCCAGTCACTATAGATTGAAAGAGATAGAGAGTCTTGGGTAGCCTAATCTATCACCCATCCTCCCCTCTATGTTTGTCTTTCTTGTGTGATACAACTAATTTCACTGCAATTACCTAATTCCAGTTACCAGAATGCGTATCCTTGTGCATCTGTGGATGCTTTTCTTGTTTATTTAATTATTATCCGCAGTTTATTTTCTCCACAGATCTTTTCTCTCTCTCCGTCTTTCTGCTCTCCTGCGGGGCGGGTAGTCTGAGAGGGAGAGACGGTAAACCAAGCCAGGGTGGCTCAATCCAGGCAGAGTCCCCCGGTTTGTCCACTTCTCGACGATTCTCAAAACGTAAGTCTGTATTTTCTTTTCTGAATTTCGTCTCTCATGAATTCCACAAACTTCTCTCGCTTCCCAACTTTTCTGCTTTTTTGCCGTCTGTCTGAAAGAACTACTATTTGTTCTCAAAATGTCAGCTTACAAACCAGGTTTATCCTCTCCCCACGGTCGATCTATAGGCTACTTACCTTTCCTGACAGGCTTTTTATGAATGTCCTTGGAGACAAATTAACCACAAGAATATTACTTCATTATCGATTTACTATGATTAATTACCGCATTTTGACTGTCCGGGTGCGATAGCCTCACTCACCAATAATGAGATATTTGTGAAGTGCGTCACCGATAATCTGAAAATTTATCATAATATTTTCTAGTGGGGGCAAAGCGTTATGTATAGGTTACCTGTAGAATGTTTTTGCAATGTGACTATATTGCTTTTATCTAAAAACTTGAGAAATACCCATCTTAAGCCGCAACCGTGAGTCAGCGAGGTAGGATGCGAGACACTGTAGGGTTAAAGGGAACACAAATAAGTCTTTTGGAAACGCATGGCTTTGCAGTGTGCTCCACTTTATTGGAGTCAGGTGGTATCGTGCAAACTTTTTCGGCTCTGTCAGCGCGTGCAAGTCGGGCCAACAATACTGTTTCCCTCAGAAAGACGGCCTTGATCTTTATTTTGTGTAATGGACGCTTGGATAATTAAGTAGAAAATACGATACACTACGTAGGTGACAACATCAAAAGTAAAAGATGGTACGAGACAAAAAACTGGGGGGGGTGGCAGCGCTTAAGACAAAGCTTGCATCCCCGCCCACTTTCATCATTGTGCTTCATTGCTATATTAAGCTTTCATCGATAATGTAAACGGCATTTACCGTGTTATGCACAGACTGCAAAAGAAATAGCATGTCTAGACTGGTTTGGACTACCCGAAACATCACAATGAGAGCTACAGATGCCCAGAGTACTGTGGAACTAGTTGTCCTAATTATGCGTTAATTTGACCGCGCTCCATTTTTAACAACTCTGGGCACAAAGAAGAAGAAGAAAAAACAACCTTAGTTCTTTTAGAGACATCTGATGTCAATTAAAGATAGAGCAGCTTTTGCGCACTTCTAGATGGCATCGACGTAACGCCACCACCCACAGTTACGAGCGTCTCTAAGGATGACGGTGTGGCTCCGCCCCTCCAGGTGCAGTCATGTGGCAGTGCGCTGTGATTGGCTCAGCGCTGCTGGCCTTGTGCTCTGCGGCCCCGCCCCCGCACATCAACCGCCTGGCGCTGTTCCCCGACAAGAGCGCTTGGTGTGAGGCCAAGAATATCACGCAGATCGTGGGGCACACGGGCTGCCAGCCCCAGTCTATTCAAAACAGGTTCGCGCACCGATGGCCTTGGTTCCGGGCACACCCTCCTGGTTTTCCTTTGAGTTGGGCTCAACTTAGTCACTCAACTTTCATTCAGTTCCAACCCACGTCTTGATGTTTTTGTGGTCATGGTGTAATACTTTTGAAGAATACACCTGCCAACCAACTAATAATACTCACAATATTTCTTACATGTCTTTTAGCTTTATAGCATATTCACTTTTCTTTCATTATTTCACTGTTCACCCATATGGGACCTTGAACTGTAGTCTCACTATCCTCCCCCCCCTCCCTACTCACCCCTCTCACCAGGGCATGCCTGGGTCAGTGCTTCAGCTACAGTGTGCCCAACACGTTCCCACAGTCCACGGAGTCTCTGGTGCACTGTGACTCCTGCATGCCGGCACAGACACAGTGGGAGGTGGTGAGTGTGTTCAGTGTGTCTCGTGTCATACCTGTGTTCACAGCCTCCTAACCTTGTGACTGACATGGTGGCTCATCGCACAGCACTGTGGCCTGTGAGTCTCATTCCTGCTGCAGGCTCTCTGTGTGTGGAGTTTGCAATCCAAAATCAAGCATTTAATTTACTGTGGTGTCTGTAAATTGCCTGGTACCCTGTGCTCCCTGACACTGGGGGCTGGGCTCCCCTTGACTCTGTCCGGGGGGGCATATCGATGTCTTACTTATCTGCCACTAGACTTAACCATGAACAGATGTGATTCTTAAACACATTCTGTCTAGTTTTTTTTTTTTTCTTAAACTAATATGAAAATGGTGACTCGAGCCAACCTGAAAAATCGGAGCGTGAACCATGATGATTAAGTTAGACGGTACGGAGTGGCCGAAGTTTACTGGTGTTTTTTGGCGATTGGCATCCATGTGGAGCAGGCAATCGCCAGTCACGCTTAGCATTCAGCTGTTATGATAAGTGACTTTTGGGTTCTGAATGATTACAGATGTCCCATGCTGACTGACTCTCATGCTGACTGACGCTAATGGCTTTTTTCGCCGTGTACTGGCGACTTGGGACAGACCTCAGAACGCTGTTGTAGCTCTGCAGTGAGAGCTGCTTGCTACACAATGTGTAACCTCTGTGTGTCTCAGTGGTGCCTCTGCTGTAACTTGCGTGCTGTTATTAAGTTGTGCTTTATGGAACAGTATACATCCCCTCTGTATCATGACAAAGGGTAATATGCAACAGTAAAGTCTCCTCTGTTGATGATGTCAGAGAGGGTTGGATCGATCCAGGAGTATTAATACCGTAAAGCCTCCTGATGTCTAAGACAGCTGAATTACAGTAAAGCTTGCAGATGCTATTCATTAATATTTGGACAAAACTTACCCCCTACCTTCCAAGCGTCTTCCAACCAGTTATCCTGGACAGGCTCCTGGGGGGAGGGGGGCGTGGAATCTAGGGGTATACACTGCACAGCACTGCAGTCCTGCACTGTCAGAGAAAAGGACAGAACTCTGGTACAGTTTTGTTTCCCAAGGTGCAAACCCGAAATGGTACAAATATGTTCCTCAAAGTCCATTTCTGTACCTTAAAAGGCACATTTATGTACATCTAGGGTATAACTGGCAGACCCTTGAGGGTTCAGCCCCAGTGACAAGTAATTGTACTGTCAAAGGTACAAATTAGCACTTTTTTCTGATAGTGGGTCCATCACTGGATTCTTATACTGTAGACACCCACTGTAGATGCCTTTGAACTGCTGGGGGACACTGGAATAGCCTCGTATGACACAGGGGATCTTGCATCATGTCCATCATACCCAGCCCACCCAAGAACCCAATCACTGATCGCCATGCAGATTGACAAAGGTCCTTTGCTTGAAGGTCACTCTGGAGTGTCCCGGGAACGAGGAGGTGCCCCGCGTGGACAAGCTGGTGGAGCGCATCCTGCACTGCAGCTGCCAGTCCTGCAGCAAGGAGGCCGGCCAAGAGGGGGCGCTATTGCAGCTTGACCCATCAGAGGTGGTCCCAGAAGCCCCGCCCTCCCCGCCAATCGATGACGAAGTCGCCCATCCTCACGCCCTGGCCGACTCCCACGCCAGAGCGCAACCCCAGCATTCCCACACGCACACGGACGCTGGGCAGCACATGCACACCCCCGCGGGTGGGTAGTTAGTGGGGGTGAGGGGAGATGGGTGGGGCATCCGCCATAGACCCTCCTCTGTGTCTCCTCCACCGGTCCACCCTCCACCTGTGTTTTATCACGCCCCTTCCTTTCCCCATCCGCTCTCCTTCTGATATCCCAAGACAACTAGAGCACTTTCGGAGCCTCAGTCTACACACGCCCGATAGACGGACTGACACGCACACGCACAGACACGCGATCACGCACATGCATACGCCTTCACGTGTCGGCAGGAAACTGAACACGTCAGCACACACAACTTACACAAATATTAAGGTATGAAAAGTTCATTTTCACTCGATGTAGGGAAAAACGCTCTACTAGCTACGCCCTACAGACACTTCTGTCCCTATAGGCCCAACACACATGCCTTAGTTATGTCTTAATGGTCAGAAGTCACCTGCTTTTTTGGCGTAGTCTGTACTCTCACCTCTGCAAACGTGTCGAAAGATGTAATAAACTAGCGACTCCTCACCTGACCCAAACATTTCTGCTGGTCTGAGACAGCATTGAGGCAGGTGGGCAGCCTGCCCTTTCACTGACAGAAATTTGCTACCATAATGTGTAGGTGGTGCATAGATTTTGGTAAGATTACATTTTGTTGTACATTTAAAAAAAAGTAACTTTGTAACGTTGTTTTATGATTTTATTGCTTGAAAACCGCCTGCCATTGATAAGAGGAACAGCAAATGTATTTGTCATATTATTTTTATATATGCCGTTACGTCATAGAACATTTCATATGGTGCTGCCCCATTTTTTTCAAAGTCAATCGTTAATATTTTAAACGTTTAACTGTTTGGCGCTATCTGGATGGGGGTGTGAGTATCCTAAACGAACGCATTTTATCAAACTCTAAGTTCTTTAAATGATCCCATGTAAACTTTATAAAAATTAACATATTCTAAGGTACAATTGGAGTTAAAAAATGCTTTTGCTCTCTTTCAAGTATGGGTACGAGGCTTGAAGGGGAACATCGGGGTACCGTTTATGAGCAGCGCGCGCCCGCTTCAGTTAGTGAAGTCCTGTTTTAATTTGAGAGGAGGTATTTTAATCCAAACAGCAGGAAATAGGACGTAGAAATAGTCTATTTCCAAGTAAGAAATGCGTAAAATTAAAATACTTTAAGATCATGGGAGAATGCAAAGAAATAGCCCGGATTAAAGATATGCGTCATATATATAAAACCAAAGGCGTTTAAGGCAGAAAATGACATAGAAAAGTGAGATTGCATAGTAATGCAAATTGTTGTTGCAGATCACGTTTATATGTATTCAACTTTAATCTGACATTGATTTCATTTAAATTCACATTGAATTGTCTGTTCCCCATTTCACCACATGAAATATCTAAACTTGAAGTCATTTATGGAGTGTTTTCTTCTTTTTCTTCATCATAAACGCATAAAAATAAACCATCTGGAAGGGATTTTCTACAGCGCTAAGAAAAGGTTATGGATCAAACAAAAAAACCTGAATTCTTAAAGAAATAACCGAGCTGATTAAAATGACTGCGAAAGGCGTCAGGTTGTCGGGATGCGGCGATTCAGGGGCTTCAGAGCCAGAGCAGCATTTAGCGCGTTGCCGCTGGCCCCTACTGGCAAGTATGAAGAAGTGCAGGCGGATGGGGAGCTGTTCCCTCCAGCGGGGTCGGGCCGTAAATAATGGCTGGATAAACGCAGAAGTAGATTGATTGTAGCAGACGGATTAACTTGCTTGTTTAACGCAAGAATGAAGACGCAGCAGGAGTCAAAAATAAATGTTTCATCAGCGTGTATACTCTTATTGTGTAGCAGTTCACTTTATTATGTCCCAGGCAAAACAGTACACTGCTATATCATATTAACAGCATTTACTGTCTTATAATCAGAAGTGGATCGTTCACGTCCCGAAAGTATAAATCCAGACCAAGATATTGTTCCAACCAACCAATACTCTGTGAATGTGACTCTTTATGCTCATCTGGCTGGTTGAGACAAAACCTTGGTCCGGATTTGTCCTTCCTGAACCTGAACTTTCCACTTCTGCTTATAATTTCACATGCCTTCTGCTAGCAATCACAGGACACTACAGTCCTGTTACTGCAGGACACAGGGCCAGTTCCACTAGCTGTGAGCAGACACATTCCAGCTGAGGATGCAGATCTGATGCGGGAAGGGGAGCAGAGAGGGTTTTTGTGTGTGTGTGTGTGTGTGTGTGTGTATGTGTGTGTGTGTATGACAGAGTGAGAGAGACAGAGAGTGTGTGTGTGTGACCAAGAGAGAGAGAGTGTGTGTGTGTGACAGAGTGAGAGAGAGACAGAGAGAGAGACAGAGTGTGTGTGTGTGTGTGACAGAGAGAGAGACGGAGTGTGTGTGTGTGTGACAGAGAGAGAGACGGAGTGTGTGTGTGTGTGTGACAGAGAGAGAGACGGAGTGTGTGTGTGACAGAAAGTCAGTGTGTGTGTGTGTGTGTGTGACAGAGTGAGAGAGAGACAGTGTGTGTGTGTGACTGAGAGAGAGACAGAGTGTGTGTGTGTGTGACAGAGAGCGAGAGAAAGTGTGTGTGTGTGTGTGTGTGTGACAGAGAGAGAGACGGAGTGTGTGTGTGTGTGTGTGTGTGTGACAGAGAGAGAGACGGAGTGTGTGTGTGTGTGTGACAGAGA